CTGCTTTCCTTGTCCTCTCAGAAAATGGCCACTCACGGGGAGGCCTCCGAGGAGCGGATTTCCGAGATTGATTATGAGTTTCTCCCTGAGCTCTCTGCTCTTCTCGGTGTGGATGCAGTCCAGCTCGCAAAGAGTCAAGAAGAAGAAGAGCATCAGGAACGACTGAAAATGAAGACAGGTTTTAACTCGCACATGCGCAGTGAGGCCAAGAGATTAAAGACTTTCGTGACCTATGACACGTTCAGATCATGGACGCCACAGGACATGGCAGCCTCTGGGTTTTACTTTACCGGGGTGAAACTTGGGGTTCAGTGCTTCTGCTGCAGCCTAATCCTCTTTGGTACCAGCCTAAGGAAAACTCCCATAGAAAGCCACAGGAGATTCCGTCCAGGATGCGAGTTCCTTTTGGGCAAAGACATCGGTAACATCGGCAAGTATGACATCAGGGTGAAGAGTCCTGAGAAGCTGAGAGGTGGCAAAGCAAGGTACCAAGAAGAGGAGGCCAGACTGGAGTCCTTTGAGAACTGGCCGTTTTATGCCCATGGGACATCGCCCCGTGTGCTCTCAGCAGCTGGCTTTGTCTTTACAGGTAACTGGATTCTATCTTCTGAGGTGTTTCTGTAAAACATAAAGTTAAGTTTCATGTTTTTATTTGTGATATTTGTAAATTTTTAACTGTTGCATTAGCTATAAGTATTTCATTAAAATTTAACAACTAGTATAGCATTATTAACTTACCCCATATGTATAAAATAAAAGGTTACCTTTCTTTAAATGTGGACATTAGAAAATATTACTATTCATAATAGCAAGAACCTGGAAACAACCTATATGCCCCTCAACTGAAGAATGGATGAAGAAAATGTGGCACATATACACGATGGAATACTACTCAGCAGAGAAAAACAATATCAAGAAATTTGCAGTCAAATGGATTGAACTAGAAAATATCCTGAGTGAGGTAACCCAGACTCAGAAGAACAAACATAGTATGTACTCACTCATAAGTGGATACTAGATATGAAAGAAGGGATGCCCAGGCTGCAACCCACAGCTCCAGAGAGGCTAGCTAACAGGGAAAGACCCTAGGAGGGACACATGGATGACCCAGCGAAGGAGAAGTAGATGAGATCTACATGAGCGGACTGGGGATGTGTGTAGGGGGTGGTGGCAGAGGGCGAGGAATGGGGAATGAGAACATAGGGAAATGGGAGGGTCAAGGTAGAACAGGGACAGAGTGGGAGGGCAGGGAGGGAGAAACCATGATAGATGAGGACATCAGGGGAAAAGGAAGAGGCAGGGTGCTGGGGAGGTTTTCAGGAACCCATAAGGATGACACCACCTTGGACTGCTGGCAGTAGTCCAGAGAATACCTGGACTGGTCTACTCTGGTGACCAGTCTAGCGAATACCCTAACTGTCATCATAGAGTCTTTGTCTAGTGACTGATGGAGGCAGATGCAGAGATCCACAGCCAGGCACCAGGCTGAGCTCTGGGAATCCAATCAATGAGAGAGAGGAGGGATTCTGCAGGTGGGTGATGTCGAGATCATGATGGGCGGATGTGCAGAGATGATGGACCACACTAATGGAAGCCCATGAACTGTGGACTGGTGGCTGTGGAGCCCCCATGGGACTGGACTAAACATTATTATCTGCATTTTACATTCAAGATTCTAAGAGGGTTAGTGCTTCATTTCAGAGTTGGAAGTCAGGCAGCCTGCATGTGCGAGCATACCTCAATCCACCTCTATCTGGAGCCTTCTGGATATGGAAGACGGTTGTTTGGCTCAAACTATTTGGGGGGCACCCAGGCAGGGGGATCAGGATCCATCTCTGGTGCACGGGCAGGCTTTGGGGAATCTGGTG